TCTCTGGTGGGGAAGGAGCCTGAGCTGGTGTGTGTGTGTGTGTGTGTGTGTGAGAGGAGCCGCTCCGTGTTAACCTGCCATGTTTCCTTCCAGATCATCCTTCTCCTGTGAGCAGAGCCCGTAAGTCCTCCTGTAGTGTTTACACACAACTAACCCCCCCCTCCCCCATTAACCCCTCCCCCTGCAGGGACCGCTGATGGGGAAACTGTCTGAGGTGGATGGGTTTCCATGGTAACAGCTGCCTCCATCTGTGTGTAGAGCAGCAGGAACAGAGTCCTGCTGAACAGGAGACAGGAAACTGTTGGTTTTAGTTTAGGACAGACCAGAGGACAGTCAGCTCCGTCTCTACAGGAAGCTTCCATCAGTGTCCACATAAAGCCGTCAGCTGACATGACGATAGCGTGTTGGACGGTTTGATCCCTGAAGCTGCTCCTGAACTCTGTGCCTGTCGTTGAGTCAGCGCAGGCGCCTCTGAAGGAGCAGCCTGTAGTAGAAGAAGAAGTAATCAGTGAGCTGAGTGAGTCAGCAGGGAGCGAAGGACGAGTTTCTCTCATCAGTCCAACTGTTCAGAAACAAAACGGCTCCTTTCTCTCAGTCTGACCTGCTTCTGCTCTCTGTTCCTGAAGGAACTTTAATCTGTGAACCAGAAACACTGGACACTCCAGACTTCCTGCCACCATCTTGCTAAGTGCTCCGTGTTTCCTTCCACCTGAAGTCTTGTTGTCATCAGAACACAGAGCTTTATTTTATAAACATCATGTAAAAGTGAAAACAACACCGACCTGACTTCCTGTCATGAAAAGACCAGGGGCCTCATGTACAAAAATTTGCGTGTATTTCTTACTGAAACCTGACGTACGGTCAAATCCAGAAAACGGCGTACGCACAAAAAAATCCAGATGTATCAAACTGTGTACGCCTGAATCCACGCACATTTCTTTTGTACATCACAATTAATGTGGAACTGAGCGCAGGTGAGACTCCTCCCCTGACACGCCTTCATTAACATTTGTTAAACAAATGCTAATTACTTCCTGCATGTGTGAAGGACACGTTTGTTTGATCCCTGCGTGATCAGAAATGATTTCTAAGGTCATAAAAATAATGAATTTAATATGAAGTGAGTGATAAAAAAATCCTAAATAAAAATAGGAATAAAATATGTTTATTACGCAAACAATGAGCGATTGTGTGTCGGTGTGTGTATGTGCGCACGCTGCTGTGTTGCGCAACCGGCTTATCACTTTGCACACGAGTTCATTACCATTACTGTAAACACAGAGGAACTTAAATGTTTGGTAGAACATAGATCTTAGTTTATTTCATAGCTGATATTAAGAAACGAGTCTCTGCGTCTCAGTAGAGTTCATATGACGTGACGTTGGAGAGTCTCCACAAACGCTGCGAGTTCCACAGCATTTGTGCGCAGTCTGTCTGTCAAGCTTTTGCTCTCCTCACAAGTTGTAAAGTGTACTTCCACGTGTCATTTTGGAGAAATCTGCAACAATGTTAATGCAAAGTATGAAACACCTCCATTGCCAGCGAGGGTGCGCGACCATAACTCAGTCTTTAGAACCATATGGATGAGATGATTCCATCGGTCATGATTCAGCTTTGGGTGGACTGGACTGACACGGTCCCGATGGGTCTGCCAGCTCCCTCTGGAAAGCTCCTGTGGAACCCCAGTTCAATCACTGTTGCTGCACGTGCACACGTGGCGCACGTGGCTACTCGCTGCGTCGCGCTCTCAGAGCGCAGCAGGGCCAAACTAAAAATAATTATTCCTCAAAACGGCTGATGAGCCACTCGTCATCAGAAAATTATATCTGTTTATAAATAAAAGCTCTGCGTGTTTCACTATTTATTATATCCTCCATTAAGGATGTGGATGTAATAATTGTTAATCATGTGGATGTAATAATTGTTAATCATGTGGATGTAATAATTGTTCATCATGCGCATCTGCTGTGAACAATAATCATTTTCACATCATGAACAGTTTCTCAGAATCACCTCTAAGTGTCGCCAACAGAACCAGAACCACAGAAACGTGTGACACCAGCCCTGGAGTTGGCGTGGGGCTGCGCACATTTCCACGTTCAGCTGAGTTTTGATACATCCGGAGTTTTGCGTGGAAAATGGCGTACGCAAGGTTTTTTATGCGTACGCACCGTTGATACATGAGGCCCCAGGTTCTGTCGTCAGTCCCAGCAGAACCAAACTGTTCTTTAACTTATTAAATACTTTACATCTTAATCACTCAAACTAAATCTAGATTTACCATGAAGAGTTTACTTATTAAACTTATGAGTTGTTTTCAACATAGCAGATTTATTTTGACAGGTTCAACTATAAATTAGACTTAAAAACCACATTTCTGCTGATTTATGAGGTAAAATAATGAATCCTGATCATTTTATCGTTAGACATTATGTGATGCTGACGTTCTGCTGCTCTCTGACACAAACTAAGACCGTCATGTAGCTCTCAGTAAGATGGCGGCAGGTTCCTGCTCTGTTAGCACAGCCTGGTCTTCCAGTGTTCGTCTGTTGAGCGATGGTGATAGTCGAGCTCTGCCTCCTTGTTGCCGTCTGTAGATCTGCGTAGAAACGCCTCTTCAGCTTCTGTAGCTGGTGATTTCAGGCTCCGGTCTGTAGTCAGGGGGAAATGATCGATCTGTCTGTCCTCCTGCGTTTGCTGAGAGCTTCATAAAGTCCCGTTGCACTTCATGTCTCGCTGGTTTCCCTCCTCTTTCATCAGCAACGCTACGATGTGCGCTGACCCTCCCCCGGCTCCAACAGCTGGCCGGTCACATAGCTGCAGCCTCATGTTTACATCAGTGATGGGAACTATTCACCAGAACTTTAACGAACCGCAGCAGAAAACTGAAACAGGAAGTTAGACCTAAATTTGTCATTTAGGCTTCCAGAGAGACAATTTTATTTTGAAACCCCAGGCCCAAAGCTCTTCCTGTTTCCTGTCGACCCACTGACCGCATCCTCCTGAATGTTACAGATCAGAGACGTGAAGGCTCTGTGAGGGCGGCCATGAATGGAAACAGGAGGAAGAAAAGCATGCTGGGTAATACAGAAGAGTTGCCATGCTGATTCCCACCTTTTCATTTTTTTATGTATTTATCTGCCAACCGGAGGGAGAGAAGCGGGAACACAGGCTGCTGCAATTATAAATAAAACAAAATTGTGTTTGTAAATTTCAAAATTTTCAATAAAATCAAAGTGTTTTTGAGTTTTAATAAAGTTTAGTTTTCAGTTTTAGCTGTTTATTTCTGAACTGAAATCATCATTAAACCTGTAAAAAGTCCAACCAGGTTTTTAAATATCAATTAAAATATTTTAAAAACTTCATGAGAACTGACAGAAGTGCAGCTGTCTCAGATTAATCTGGGATTAGATGAACCTAAACTCAGACCCACCTCCTGCTGGAACATCAAAGCTCGATCAGATGATTAAATCTTTACTCAGATCAATAATAATAAACGTTCCCATCACTCAGCTGTAAACATGCCCCCCCCTCCCCCCAGCTGCTGCTGTCAGTTCGACACGTCTAACTTCTCTCTCCTCCAATCAGCAGCACAGAAGAACCTGGCTCCTCCCATCCCGGCCCGGCAGTACGAGGTGGCGTTGAACCGGCAGCAGCGCTACTTCCGCATCCCCTTCATCCGACCGGGGGACCAGTACAAGGACCCCCACAGCAAGAAGAAGGGCTGGTGGTACGCCCACTTTGACGGGCCCTGGATCGCCCGGCAGATGGAGCTGCACCCAGATAAACAACCCATCCTGCTGGTGGCGGGTCAGTACCTCACACAGAGGGGGCGGGGCCTGAACAGACGATGGAACCAGCTGGAAAAACAAATGAAAACTTCAACATGAGCTAAAATAAGTTTATACGCTAGCTAAAAATTAGCTACATGTGATACAAGCAGAACGTGAGCTAAAATATGGTGTATGCTAGCTAAAAGCAGCTAAACACTAGCTACATTTGATACAAGCAGAACATGAGCTAAAATATGTTGTATGCTAGCTGAAAGCAGCTAAAAACTAGCTAAATTTGATAGAAGCAGAACGAGCTAAAATACCTTGTATGCTAGCTAAAAGCAGCTAAAAACTAGCTACATGTGATACAAGCAGAACACGAGCTAAAATATGTTGCATGCGAGCTAAAAGCAGCTAAACACTAGCTACATGTGATACAAGCAGAACATGAGCTAAAATATGGTGTATGCTAGCTAAAAGCAGCTAAACACTGGCTACTTGTGATACAAGCAGAACATGAGCTAAAATTCATTGTATGCTAGCTAAAAGCAGCTAAAAACTAGCTACATGTGATACAAGCAGAACATGAGCTAAAATGTGTTGTATGCTAGCTAAAAGCAGCTAAACACTAGAACTAATTAAAGGTCCAGCTAGAAGTAGCCAGAGGCTAGTTAAAAACTGTGTGCTAGAGTGCAGGGTGTCTCACTCCCTGACCGCTCCTGTATTAAAACCAGACTGGTGATCCAGAATCTGCTGAGTCATCAGTTGATGTGTCAGTTAGGAACTGGACCAGAACTGGAGGAGTTTTCTCGTCACAGTTTGGTTGAGTTCCTGACGGAGCTAATCTGGATTATCTGCAGGATTAAAGCGTTTTGTCCCCTCAGGGAAGGACGACATGGAGATGTGCGAGCTGAGCCTGGAGGAGACGGGTCTGTCCAGGAAACGGGGCGCTGAGATCCTGCCCCGGCAGTTCGAGGAGATCTGGGAGCGCTGCGGCGGGGTCCAGTACCTCCGCAGCGCCATCGAAAGCCGGCAGGCGCGGCCCACCTACGCCACGGCCGTGCTGCAGACCAGCATGCTGAAGTGAGGGCGGCGGGGGCGCTGCAGACACGAGGGACGAGCGCAGCGGTGACCCGACCCGGGCGGCGGCTCGGCTCCTGGTTCTGACAGCAGGACGCTCGGCGTGCACGGTGGTTCCTCTCAGCTGTGTCTTTTTGTTTTTGTTTGTGGGGGGTCGGGGTGCATTAAACCCTATGCAGGAAAAAAAAAACAAATCACACTAAATGTTCTGATCCGGTTGTTTTCCGGTACTTTCTGTTTGTCTAACTGAGGCCTTAAAACCACTTTAACAGGGTTTCTGTAGATAACTTCACCTCTCTGTGATTATGCATTCCTAATGATCTAACAGCTGGTTCTGACCCGCTTTGGTTCCCAGTTTATCTGCAGACCTGCTTGATTGAATCAATCCTTTGTTGTTTTTTATTTTATTTTATTTTTGGTTCTGATCAGATAACCTGATCGGGTTCAAATGAGTTTTGATGATTTTTATTTCTTTGATTCTTAAAAAAAAGGCAGAAAATGTGAATAAATTATGCAACAGCTGAGATCCGACTTCACTGTCCTGTCTTCAGGGTTCTGATATCTGTAGGTGGTTCTGCTGATCCGGTCCTCAGCCCAGAACTGGAACACTCTGTTTTCTACACAGCGAGTCCAGAACCACGGTCCCACTGGACCCAGTTATTTTTGAAAGAACAGTTTCTTCTTAGACCAAGAAGCAATAAATCAACTTCCTGTGTGGCGCTGATGGACCGCCCACAACACGCAGCGCCGGACCTCCACTCGGTTCTGACGGGTCCAAACACAACACAGGTTCATGTGAAGGTTTTGTGGAGCAGCTTCGACCCAAATGTGTCGATCCGGTTCTGTTCCCTCTGGAAGCAACTCTGAGATGACAGAACATCTGAACAGTTCAGTCCAACCCAGCCAGAACCAGAACTTTACATCTCTGCTGACGGCTCCAGCCTCTCCTCGAGAACATCGGACCTGGTTCTGTCCGAGTGATTCATCAGAACCAGGGTGGAACGGTTCTACAACATTTTAGAAACAGGTTTGGTTTTTCTCTGATCTAGGTCAGACGTATTCACACACACCGGTCTCTGGTCCCGGGTCTCCTGGTCCCGGGTCTTCTGGACCTCAGGTTCTGTCTCCATCAACCAGGTTCTGATAGAAACCAGACCACTCCAACTAATCCTTCATGTTGACAAAGCTGCAGTCAGTCATGATCACTAACAGGAAGTTATGATGCCTTGTCAAAATAAAAGCTCGTTTTAAATTATTAAAGTTTATTTGTTGTAGAATCTTTCCTCTGATCCAGTAAAATAAATCAAGCCTCTTCAGGTTCTCCTCTGACCCGAAGGCTGCTGTTTGCTCTCACAGGTTCTGGTTCTGGTTCTGGAGCAGAAGTTGAGTCCAACTGTTTCCTTCTGTGACTTTACCTGCATGTTAATGTTTGTACGGGACCGCCGCCTCAACAGGCTTGAACTCTAACATGAATAAAATCCGTCCATGTTTGACTCTCCTGTCTGTGATTCTGCAGAAAAACACATCTCAAACCAAACACTTTTATTTCACTTAGGATTCAAGAAAAACAAACGTTCACAAGAGAAAAACATTATTTACAAGAAGCTGCTTTCAGTAACAAAGGTTGGAACAAAAGAAAAGTGAGTTGAAGATTAAATATGCACCTTTTAGAGTCCGGTTCTGGTTCTGCAGGTCCTGTGGTTCTTTCACAATAAGACCCACCACAGTAACAAAACACTAAATGTCTTTATTTTTTTAAATCTTTGTCTAAAACAGAAAACCATATCGGCTCCAGTTGTTGGACCGAACCAGGAAGTATAATTTGAAGTCCAGGTTTATCATCCCACAGTTTAATCCTGTTAGTAAAACTTAATCTCAGTTTTAATCCCATTAAACCAAGCCAGTGTTGAAACTTCGAACAGTTCAGCTGTTGGACCGATGGGTTTCCATCATTACCAATCATGACTCAGCTAAAATAAAACGTTTATTCTGAAAGTCAAAAAGTGAAGAAAAACTCGACTTTTCTTCAGGAACTAAACTCCGATTATTTTTACCAAAATAAAAGTTTTCTAATAAACTGCATCTTTTATTCTGCAGAACGATGACCTTAGGTGACCTTTGACCTTTCTCAGACTGATGGGCAGCAGGGTTCTGATGTCCACCTGGATGCTGCAAGTAGAGGTGGACCCAGACCATCAGCAGCTCCAGATCCCCTGGACCCGCTTTTAAAAGTCTGCTTCTGTTCAGGTCGTGTTCATCTGGGTCTAAGACCCGATGAGGACCAGATGACCCTTATTTTTTTACCTTTCCATGACTGAACCTGAAGAGTTTCAAAAACACAACCTGATGGACATCTACTCACTACAGACAGAACCACAGAGAGTTCTGGGTCCATGGTCATTGGGCTGTCTGCAGTCTGGTGATTCTGGAGTCCCTCCTGAGAGGACGCTGTCCTGTGAGACGAAGCCCAAAGGGACACTGAGACATCTTCAGCACCTCTTCATCTTCAGTCTTTTTCAGTTCCTGAGTCAAAGTCTGTAAAAGGTGAGACAAGTTTACCTGAACTAGGACCAGAACCAAGACCAGTACCTGAGAGATCAATCTGGTACCAAAACCAGTTCTTTGACCCTCTAACATCCAGCCTCATGTTTTATCATCATTTTCATTCTGAGTTTATTATAAATTATTTTAATGAACTGAAATTTAGCTTTTTAAAAAGTTCTAAAAAAAGCAGATGCTGAAAATAGCGAACAGCTACCTAAAAGCTAAAATCAGCAATACATCAGCTAGCAGTATCTAAAGGCATTGACAGATATGAATGTCAGAAATCGAACCTGTACCTTTAATCTGGTCCGGTTCAGTCTGTGATCCTAACTCAGTCCTGGACCTGTTGATTTGGTTCTGGAAGAGAAGAAGGAGTAAGTGAGAAAACTGAACCATGTTCTGACCTGGTTAGCTGGATTCTACCCATCTGCACCACAGAGACACCTGGACAAGTCTTTGGTCCAGTCCTGACCTGTATTTAGAACCCCAAAGTTGTACAGAGAGAACCTGTGACCTTGTGAGACAACAGCTCTAACCACTGGTCCACCATGCTTCCCCTCATTCAGGTTCCTCTGCCCTGAATGAAGTCCTGTCAGGGTTTTAAACCTTTTTATTTCAAACATCAGAGAACTGGTTTCATTTACAGATCTGACAATCAGAACCTGATGATCCTAAAGAAACACCTGACCAGCATCAAGACACACCTTATGGGCATCAAGAAATACATGATGAGCATTAAGACACACCTGATGAGCATCAATACACACTTGAAGAGCATCAAGACACACCTGACGAGCATCAAGAAACACCTGATGACATCAAGAAACACCCGATGAGCATCAAGACAGACCTGACGAGCATCAAGACACACCTGACGAGCATCAAAACACACTTGACAGGCATCAATACACTTAACGAGCATCGAGAAACACCTGACAAGCATCGAGACACACCTGACGAGCATTGAGACACACCTGACGAGCATCAAGACACACCTGACGAGCATCGAGACACACCTGATGAGCATTGAGAAATACCTGACAAGCATCAAGACACACTTGACGAGCATCGAGAAACACCTGACGAGCATCAAGACACACCTGACAAGCATCAAGACACACTTGACGAGCATCAAGAAACACTTGACAAGCATCAAGACACACCTGATGAGCATCAAGACACACCTGACGAGCATCAAGACGCACTTGACAAGCATCGAAAAACACCTGACGAGAATCAAGACACACCTGATGAGCATCAAGACACACCTGACGAGCATCAAGACGCACTTGACAAGCATCGAAAAACACCTGACGAGAATCAAGACACACCTGATGAGCATCAAGACACACCTGACGAGCATCAAGACGCACTTGACAAGCATC